ATAATACTGAGCTACATGTTAAACGTATTCTTAGTATCAACAAAGTATTCCCACAGGCGGTGTGGTAGAAGATCGAGATCTCGCGCAGGGCACGACCGGGCACAGGGCTCGCACGTGGGGCCGGGACCACTATCGCCCTTAATCACTGATAATCTGAACTAAAGCAGAGAACAATGCCGCCATAATGTACTCGACAAATGAGCACAATTAATGCCAACAATCTGAAATTGTTTGCGACCGTACCGTACACTCTTCTCTTGTATCGAAAGGAATATATAGGATTCAAAATAGGTAACTAAGTAGGCACATTACATACTGCAATAAGCGTGAAAATTAAACTAAAGTTCAAACAATAAAACAAAACATTTAGACGCCAATCTAGAGATAATGCCTCCAAGCAGTCAGACTAAACTTTAAAGCAGAATCTTTTATTCGAAGTTGTGTTTTCTTTGAAAACTAATCAGCGCATGCCATTGTTGGATCAGACTCGATCTTTACGTTCGTCAATATATCTCGAAGATTCCTCGGGCGAGGAGTGCACTCGTCCCCGGGAAATTAGCTCCGACGACGCCACAATAGTCCATAATTATGAAATGTGTTGTGATTCCAAAGGATATGCAATTTTTCTCTTGCGCCGAACAATGCAAGTCGGTAATGAAAGGAGTCAATCAGTCGTTGTCTGCGAAATAACACTGCCCTTAATTTATGGGCGACTCGGTGCGAGTGCACGGTATTCTCTCCCTCTTTTAATGTCTCTCTCTCATACTCAGAAAGGGCGATGAAACTGTGTCTACCTGTGCCAAAAAGCAAGTTTTGCTTTCATAAAATATGAATCGAAACATTAAAATCATCGAATGAGGATATGCGCCGATTTGGCATAAAGCAACGTGTGTTCTATACGCGTGTACGTGAGAGGTGTACTTACACACCAGCTTCATATGAATTTATAGCGAATGCCGTATTATTTACTAGCATTATAGGCACAATTTGCGAAGCTGTCGCAAGGGCCGACTATAATTTCCCGATGGCAGCAGATCCATCAATACCCGCCTCGGGCCGCGGCCGCTTTCAATTTGTAGGCCGCTCCATCGACGGCAATTACCGTCCGGACGGAAGGCCGATCATCATCGATATACGCGTTTAATAATGCCTAATGACACTTAATAAAGACAGAAAATAAAAGTGTGACGATTATTTATTATCTGTCTCATAAATATAGTAACGGTTTAAAGACTGCGCGTATAGAAAAATACATAGCTGTTGGGATGATATTGCGGTTTAGACAGAATAGCATTTCAGACCATTAATCAAATTAGTATTTATTGTTTATTTACGATTTGAAATGGGTATTTAGTTGCGAAATTGATATTAATGATTTCCAGTTCAAGGACAGTGAAACGTATTGAGCTTCATATTTCGACGATAGCAAAATGTAACCGGTTATCTAAATCACAATTTTACAGTAGAGGGTTTTGAAAGAAAATTTTATATTTTATGTAACAGACCGAATTAGCTAAAATATTGAACAATATATTCTCTCAAGCTTTTGCTTTCCAAACGCCGTACTGTAAAATCGTGATTTTGCAGATAGCCGATTACTCTTTACTGTCGTTGACTTATTAGTGATCGCAAAATCTCATCGCTACCTACCAACTTAATAATAATAATCTAATTTGAAATAAATATTATGACATATAATATTTTTAACGACTTCAAAAAAAGGACGAGGTTCCCATTTCGACTGTATTTTTTTGTACATATGTTACGCGATAACTCTGACATTTGTGAACCGATTTTGATGGTTTTTTTTTTGGAAAGACGGTACCTCAGTAGTGGTTCCATTTAAATTTGAAGAAAATATTCCGCCTCGTCGGTTTTTTTAATACTCTGTACTGATTACAATTCAAAGTTAATAATAACGTTAAAGTAAACATACATTTAATTACATTGTTTGAATGGAGTTGTGACAAAAGATCCAACAACTCAAAAAATAATAAATAAACAAATAATTGCAAATTTCTCTGCATTGATTTCAAGTTGCACAGCTTTTTATTAAATTTTTAGATGCATTCAGTTGCGATTTTTGTGGATTTTTTTATAACTTTGTTTGATCCCGTTTTTACAGTATGATTGTTGTACTAACAATATAGTGCCGCCGACGACGTCATTTACATGAAAATCGGCTGCTTAGATATATATATTGTGACGTCCATTGCCCGCCGTGCTAATTTTTTTCTCTCTCTCCTTTGAACTGGAGAACTTGAAACCGATTAAAAGGGCTTCGGAAATGCACAAAGTGTGATATTTTTCTTTTAACTTCGAACTGGGTTACAAGCTATACAATAAGACGCAGTTAAATTTCACGGATCATTTCATTCTTGCTTTTGAAGCACGTTGATTCAGTTTAGTGCCTAATTAAAGTTATTTTTGACATTAATAACAAACAAATAACGAGTATTAAAATGGAGTAGTAGTAGTAGGTAAGGATTAAATAAAACTTATCCGCTTTATAGACTAACTACCTGTCTAACTTTTGCAATTTTCCCAAATATTTACGGAACTATAAATAAAGTTTGTATCAACAAACAAATAAGATATCCTAAATGTATTATATGTATGTATTCACGAAATTTCGGTGCTTAAAACCACTCCAACCACTGTTAACTGTTTCTTTAAGTCATGCCCATTTCGCTCAGTTGCTCAACTAGCAACTTGCAGGCTAGCCGCGTAGACGACTGACAGCCCATTGATTGGCATTAATATTCTATCTTTCCGGTGCAGGGGTGTTATTTAAACCACTTTTTCTATAAACTATCTGTCAAACCTTTGACAGTTTACCGGTTAGCCACTAAGACTAACATAACTATCTTAAGGCAAATTCCACCTCCACTCGATGTTGCATTGCACACCACAAAACATTTTGATTAACAAAATTTTGACAAAGTAGGTGGTACATATTTTGATTGTCTATAGATATATGTCTGATTTGCCATACAAAGGATATGTCTTAATAAATAAGTTTAATAGCAGTAGAACTCCCTATGAAAAAGTACGTCTAGGGCTGTACTGCTATCTTACCTATTACTGCCGACAAGCAGTAATGTGAGCATTAACTGTGTCCCGATTTTGATGTGTAAGGGTGCTGGTGAAGTGACAGGCTCATGTCTACCTTAAAGTTGGTTTTGAATGAATTGTAAAATATGACTACAGACTAATATGACTATAGAATATGACACGGAGGGACAGTACTTTAAATATCGTAGGTTTTTTATTTTTAAAAGTAAGTAATGCTGCATTTAACGATTTTTTTAAAGTTGCTTGCTTTACCTGGGAATCAAATCGACCAAATGTGAAAAACGTAAAAACCCGTATTTTTATGATGACCGATGAATGAATGAATTATAAAGATTGATTCCTTTTATGTAATATACTATCTTAAATTAAAGGAACACCGTTCAATTGTACAATTTATAAAAAAGAAACAAACTTGAAACTGCCAATGTATCTACGATATTTGTAAATAATTGACCAAATGGCACGCGCGACACAGGGCTTCCCTAGTGGGGGGCTATGAATGTGTGCTTTATTTTTTTATTTCATTTAAATATTCAAAATGTAATCCATCTTTTTATAAGTAAATTCTCAATTTTTTTTTATACGTTCGCTGCTCGTACATTTTCTTACCGTGTTATGATATGTATACGAAACTGTAACTCGTCCACATTGTCAAATTACTTCTTGTTTTTTAAAACCTTCAAGTATCCCCAGAAAAAGAAATCTAATATTTCCAGGTCTGGACATCTCGCTGGCGATCGGTCCACGTGTACCGATCCAAGAAGGAAAACCATCATTAAGAGACTCGGCTGAACTGGAGCCCCATCTAGAAAAAATATCGACATTAAACGCATCGTAATTCATTTTCCTGAACTACAACGTCATGGTGTTCCTTCAATTTACGATACGAAGTTACTTAAAAGGAATCAATCCTTGTAATTTACCCTTTCGATTGGCGTCATAAAATTACAGAATTTTTTTTCTCATTTAGTTGGTTCGATCCCAGGTGAGGCAAGGCAAGTTTTCGAAAATCTATGAATACATGTTTTTAAAAATAAAGTGGTTTTTATGATACTATGTGTCGTGCGCTTGGTGGTAAGCGACACGCCGCCGCCGGTCCATAGCAGTTACAATGCCATTCAGAACTTTAAATCACACAGATCTGAGGGGTACTGCCACTGAGCCCGTCGCCCTGAGACATAAGTCAACAAGTCCCATGTCCTGTAGCTTCACCAGCACCCTTACCCTACAAAACCGGAACGCTTTTCGGCGGAAACAGTGGCAATAATTCCCTTTACAAACCCTTTGACAATGTGCTCTACTGCTATTATAATGTCTTCATAAATAAATCAAAATATTCTATCTGCAACATTTAAAATACTTTACCTCCGTGTCAAATAGTCATAGGACACCCTGTATATTTGATAAACAACAATAAAAAACAATATTCGCTCCGTAAGATAGACCTGAACCGATTTGAAGACCATTGTCTAATTAAGGTTGCTGCGGTGAGCAAAAAGTTATGCGATGGTGAGCAAAATAAAACAACATTTATAATTGCTTTCTGTTTATTAACACTTTAGGGCTGCGCCCCGGATATGTGTCGCTACTCTCGTGTCGCTGCTTACACATGACGGTGTGTCACTGACTAAAAATGAATAATGAGAAAAGTAAAAAAAATGCACTCATGTCATCCCGCTCCATACTAAGTACTGTATTTGTGTAATAAGGCCATATCTACAAAATGACAACTTTTCAGGAGACAGTTTTAAAGATTCTACGAAAGAAATCAGTCGATACTTTTTTTTATAAATAAGAGATCTAAAAAATTTTACATATTTATTTTACAATTTTACATAATTTATTTCATGTAGATCGTATTATTTTTATGACGTATGATAATATGTCGCTTTATTATATCAAGGGTATGAAAAGAATAGATACGATGTTATTAGACCTACAAAGGTGAACATTCTTCACTAATCATCGTATGTTTTTTTATATGAATATAACTCATTTCTAGAACGAGTTTGGCACGAGCTACAACTCAAGATGTGAATTGCTAAATCGAAATTTATAGCCTTAAAAAATTTGCCTAGTGACAGTTACAGTGACAGTTAATCAAGTAAAGGAAGACATGTTTTATGATTATATAACTGCTGGAAATTCAATATCTTTTAAGCACATAAAGAAATTGGAAATGATACTATTTTTACATATAAATCGCTGTATATTTATTTTTTTCACCAATACGTCGGACATTTTACAGGTCAAGCCACTCTCATCGTCAGACGTCATTTAGATGAAAATCGGTTAAGTTTATTGTGACGTCCATTGTCCGCCATGTTAATTCTTTTCTCTCTTTATATTGAACTGAAGAATTTGAAACCGAGATAAAAGGGTTGCGGAAATGTATAGAGTTTGGTCTTCGGACTGGGTTTCAAGTTTCATGATTAGCCACGGTTAGGTTTATATTTGTAGGTTGTAACATACATTCTTACTTTTGACAATGGAACATGTAAAGCGCCCGTTTTATATTCGAGAAAATAGTTTAACTTCTCCATTAAAATAAATCAATAGCCATAGTAATTTGCAGCGGCAGTAATTACAGTGCTTAGTAATATAATAGATAGAAACGAATACGAGTTTCATTAGTGGTATAACTATATTTGGCAATTTCGTACACATGATTGCTTTCATAAGCCTGTTTCTTTGTATTATATCTGTTCTTGTTAATAGATTATTATATAAGTATATAAAATCATTCTAAAACTGATGAAACATAATCACTACTGATTAGATTATGAAAAGTATCAAAAAGCAACTTACATTGAGCTGTGTAAAGTCAAAATAGCAAGGGAACAAGAACTTTCATACTTGTTAATGCTTGAAACAAATTTTTAAAATAACGAGCAATGTATACATGTCAAAACTACACAGTTTAAAAGGTATTTGTAAAATATATCTGAGATTAAATTGTGTCAGTGTAGCAGCAATCACGACATATCACACTAAGAATTACTTCATCAAATATCTTACTAGATACAAACATCTAAGTGGCCCTCTATTTACAGTGCTTACTCTACAAAAATAATTTAACCAACCACTATACAATACATACATTTTATATACTTAAATGTTACCAGAATATAAATAACTTATAGCTTAAAATATACACACAAATACACAAATCTACATCTAAGTTATTATTTATTATCACTTATTTGGAATTCATAGGAATTTGTAAGTACAATAAATACTGTTAATGGAATGACAGATTCATTGAAAAAATATAAATTCTATTCTTAAAGTTACAAGGAGATTTATTAAATATCACTGAGAATTAGCCAAATAATCGCTAAATGAGAAATTAATAATTTCGATATTTCACACTGACATGACAAAACGTATATCAGTAGATCTAATGTGCTTAATATGATATATACTATAGTGTACATACAACCTGCTGGCCGTGCGTTAGGTTTGTGAGAAAGTAGTGTCTCGTGGACTTGTCGCTCCTCGAGCGCGTATAACGGATAGTGAGCAGATTATAACTACAGGATTTAAGAGAACTCCATCAATTATGTCAAACGTGAACTTTGATATTCTTTGGTAAATTAACGATGAATTTAAAACAGTATTGATTCTTTTTTTAATTCTTCAATATTAATTTTCTGAAAAGAGGAAATCGTAGGTAACTATTGTTAAGATTAATTATAATGAGAGTAGAATACATTTTTTAATTCTTTTTGGGTAGGAACCATGAAATTAACATTATTTTATACAATCAATGCTTATTTCTTATTCTTACATTAAATACAATTCGATAGCAAGGTACTCTTTTAAAAACTACCACAAGTGTTCATTGGGTTTTAAGATCAATTTAAAAACGAAACAATAATTCGAAAAGTAATTCTATTCCTTTCTTTTGATATATTTGTTGGTGACAAAATTGATTCTTATCTCATATTCACAGCACTTCAACTATTTTTCGTGTAGTCCTTCGCGGCTTTAGGAATGTCATTTTAACAGTCATTATGGTTTATTAATACTAGTTCACAGCGGATGCCGAGGCGCGGGGGAATGATCGGGCCGCGCTGGTGCTGCGGACGGGTGCGCGGGAGGTGGATATGGGCAATAGCGAAGAGGAGGTGGAGGTTTCTGCAACCAGAGGTCTGGTGGAAGCCCAAGAGGTTGGGGCCAAGCGGCAGGCCACGCGCGGCCGCCTAAGGCTAGCAGCTGCAGCGCTGGAGGCGTTCTGGCCCACGCCGCACGCTTTTCTGCGTCCTCCTCCGCCGGTGTCGCTCCACCTGCATACAGTCGCAGCGGCGATCGCAACAGCTGTTGCTCCATCAACATCAGCTCCATAGGATCTCTGTGGAGCAACATAAACTACATGTAAGCAATATGTCATATATCATATTGTAGCGTACTAAGTAAACCTACGACTTATATGTAACAAAGGAGATCTATAAAAAACGAACATTTCGGATTACTCAACAGTAAAATAAACATCAATATAGGCCTTTCAAACATCGAAAAGTTCTGTTTTAGTAAAACTAGCAAATCGTACAGAATGTAAGCGTCAGATTCTTCGAACGTGAGCGTTTTGCGAACTCGCCTGTTCGTTGGCTTTCAGCGGTCCGTCGTCAATAAAGCTGTTCGAGGAAAGGCGGCCGCCGGCGGGCCACGTGGCGGTGCTGCCCTCGTAAAAATTTAATATCATCGCACTACAGCACACGCCACGACACAAGATTCTGGATCAATGAGATCATCAGACGTATAACTACCTCCTTTCGTTACTATACATTGCTTTTTTTTAACGGTAACTTACGATGGTACGGAGATCAAACAAATTATAATTTTGTCTCAAAATACTATCTTAATCAGAGTACGAATGAATATGTTAAAGAAACTGGAATATTATGGTATCGGTAACGATTTCGTCGAAGCTCCTTTACGAGTGCGTTCGGTCGTAGTTAACGAGGCGCGCGGCGGCGCAACGTGCTCGTCTTGCCCTTTATTGCTCTGGTACGCGATGCCCTTTATCGGTTCCTGGAGGTTGTCGCGACCGCCACCGAGCACGCTTCCCGCTAACTCGCTATTTTCGCCTTGCTATGAAACTATCGCCGCACTATGCGTGTGCAATATTGCATCGTTTACGCCCGACCAATAGAAACTGAACATTGTCGATAATTCCTTCCACACTCAGACGCGCGTATCAGACTTTATCGCACTCCGAGAGAGATCCGACAGTTGTGAATAATGGCTCTGCGTCTCAACGAACGAGCGATAGTCTGAGAGCGGTTAAATGAGCGTGACGACGCAGCGAAATCGAGGTGAGCCTCAAAATTGGCATGACATCACGAGATGCCGTGTCGAATTTAATCTATCACCACTCGCCAGCCGCGGGCGCCGGCGCGTCCCGAGCTCCGGAACGACCCAGGAATTACGTATAAAACAGGTAGTGCCCACACACGCTATAGTAGAAATAGATTTTTTTCTAAACTTTAATTTCAAATAATTTGTACAGAAACAAAAATTTTTGTAGCTGTTATCATACCATTATTACGCTTTTCGAGTCTCTATAATTTTCCACTTTCGACACGCAGCGCTCTTTTAAAGGAAAGGCCAAGAATAACAGGGTCAAATACCTACCTACTAAGCACCTACCTAACTTACTAAGTCCAGCATCTAAGGTGTCTCCGTTTACACGTGCATCTAACTCAGAAATATCTTGCATTATTACAACTAATCAAATCAAACTCTTTAATTTCAACTAACACATTCCACGACATTAATGTTTTGAAATTTACACGTCTTCATCACGGCGGCAAAAGAGCTTTAGCGTCAGTAGAGCTCAGTATATGTAGCAGGGAGTCAGTTCGGTGGTTATGCCTTTTCGGGTGTTGCGGGGGCGTTAATGGCGTATTTATTATGATCTCGGTATCAGCTGTAATAGCCAACACTCGCCGGCAAATTACAGGGCGGCGGTTATAAGAGGCCGCCGCTAGAGACGCGCCACGAGCATTTGCACTTATCGATATCTTACTGCATTCCGTTTATCGATAGGTGCATACGAATGCATAATGGATCTATCAGATAAAATATGAAATATAATTTCCTTTTGTAGTGATATTTCCATCTTGACATAATATATGTTACGATAATCTGTTCGACAAAAAACTTTTAAACTTAGTGTATGCATGATATACAGTTCTAAGTTATCATGAATGATATATTTTACTACGTAATTTGTAAGATTGAGTTAAACAATAGAATGTCATATAGGTACCTTAGTATCGAAACGAAAAAGTATATTCTTTTGGGCATCATTAATTTCACCTAGCCCTAGAGCAGAAAGAGGCAATAAATCGCACCAATCTAACTCACTGAACTAAGCATCGGAACATTTCGAAAGCTTGCAACAATATTGTGTACTTCAAAATATCCTGTCTTTAAAAAGACCATATTAAATAAAAAGATAGAAGCTATTTAAAAAGTAAGTCATAGTGATGTAACTGTTAAACACGCGTCTCACGCCTGCGGCCAGCACGCAGTTGTCGTTAAGTTATTTCTAGCCCTTAAGTGAATCGCATGCAATTAACGAAGAGGTGCGTCCGAGCATAAATATGAATCCTCGCCCGCTAAATATCGGCTCTGATTGAGCGAGGGGCGGATCTTATTAATTAATGGATGAAAAGCCGCCTCGGCCACCACACCACATAACACCACCGCCCGATTCTCACACAATGGCAATTCATCACACTTATTGTCTGACGATTTCGGACGTCAGCGAAGGAAGTCATTAAGGTTGAACGCCGTTAGGCACTCGTTTAAAACGTTTATATTTATTGCGGTGTGAATTCGGAAATCACGATATATAACTTAGTGATATCACATCGGGCGGGCAAACAATGGAAACCCACGGAAGTACTTAAACTGGCTTTTAAGTCAACTTCCAATCGTCAAATCAACTGAGAGTCGAAGTGACAGACAGTGGAGTGGCAATTTGCGTCGAGATTTTATCTGCGTCTCCTACGCGCTGCGATGTGAATTGGCCGATGGAGCGGCGCGGGCGCACGGTAGCCGCGCCACTGACACCGCTCAATGTGGCGCGAGATACAGCAGGCCTCTAATTATTCAACCTTCATTTCATTACATGAGAGTGCAGAGATTGTGACAGACGAGTGAGAGAGGCAAAAGGGCATCAGAGGTATTATAATTACCGCCTTGATATTAACCGAAGCTAAAAATTAACCAATGAACATTTATTTTAAGTTTTGGGCGGAATTTATGAAATATTTTATGTAATACTTAAACATGAATCATGTACAACGTTTAGTGATCGTAATTTGAATTTTTATGTACGGGCGAATTAGTACAGAAAAGAGTAAAAAAAATGGGAAGCTTATAGTAGGTACCCTACAAAAGTATTAAGAAAAATATTGTTAAAACAATAATTTTGACCACCAGTCACATAAGTATATATGGGAAAGTTCTGAGTACAAGCGAATGAATCTAAGTTGGCAGCGGGACGGCGGCTGCGCGGGCGCTGGGAAGCGCGGTAATTGCGCCGATAACATCTCGGATCAGCCATCAATCAGCCGAGTAGCCACCAGCCATCAGCCCAGTGAACTATCAGCGGCTGCCGAATCAATTAGCCCAATCGATACCCGACACTGCTGCGCGCTACGTTACATTATTAACACAATCAATTCGGTGATCATGCTCGCTTTAGCTTTTAGTCATGTAGCTACTGGAAGTGAAAGTGTAACGATTTATAGGTTATTAGAAGATAAGCAAAACTACGTGAAAAAGATATCTAATGATAAATCATTCCCTAACATTGAACCTCATTCTTGCCTTTTAAAGCTATTAATATATTTCTTTATTTTTCTACAAAGTTGCAATTGTTCCACTGTTTAGTAAAGTCTCCTTTTTCTTTCCATACTTTCCGATCGAACTCAACATGTTTCATAAACTTTTCAAAAGATTAATCCGTCTCTTTATGGTTTTTCTTCTTATTCCCTTATTAATATGAATTATTTAATCGTTACAAAATAAAACAACATTTATCGCCCATTTCAACAGAAGATTGAACATTCCTTTTGCATAATTCAGCAGGTTACTCAAAAGGTAAAACATGGATAAACACCTGAGCGAGAAACGCGCCGGTCCACATCACGCCTCCGGGAAACCGGTCCCCGGCCGAATGTGCATCACACCGATGGGCAGATAATAGAAATGCGCTTTAATTTGTCGTTTAGGGCATAATGAGGAGCGAGCCCTGTGATTACACTACGAGCCGCCGCCGCCGGCCTCGGTCGCTGTTGACGTGAGCTGTTTCCACACTCCACTCCCCGCCTTCACATCGCAACCATGCATCCTCGAATGTATTAAGTCGAATATAGCCCTCTCGCGTATGCGAAATTCATATTCGAGATCAGTTCGATCGAGGGCTCCAGGTAGTGGTCGCCCATGGGAACGCCCGCGACCGCTTCGCCTGCCTGCCGGCAAATTCTCGCCTCGTACACTGCAATCTTTCGAACACCTTCGACTTAATGAGGGAAAACGGTGTTTTGCAAACGCTCGAAAACTGAAACTGACAATTCGTATTAATTTCTGCGAAATATACCTACAATCTGAGGGTCTCTCCCGGCCCACAGCCACGTCGAGAACAATGGTTACGTAATTATGTTCCCACGGATATAACATTCGAATTCCCGTTAACGTAACACGAGTTGCGCACATCCAGTATGTACAAGAATATTGGACAAGAAAGCCATTATAATTTAGCGCTTTTATCGGCAAGTGCAACTGCGTTTATTGTGTCAGGTACTTTAGGTCTACTTGCTCAATCACGATGAAGAGCATTATTGTTTTATTATAGTCAATAAGATAAAAAATAAATTACCGAAAAACGCCCCATACTCGTAACTTAAAAATGGTAAAGGTTTAAATGTGATCAAAACGAATTTATATCCCGAAGGCACGAATATTTTACACTTATAGTCTAAATTTGTTCAAGTCGATCAAGCAGATAGGGCGGATAACAGCGTGGAACCTTCCTAAATCGGTGTTGTGATCAGTGTTTGGGCACATATCGGTCGCAATCAGTCGAGGAGCCTCGTTTTAAATCTTATATTCATGGAAAGCCGCTTGGCGCACAAATTGCAGGGCGGCCGACCTAATGCCTTTCAACTGTTGCTAATAACCTGCCAATTTATCAAACTCGCCTGGAGCGCCGCGTCGCTGCGATTTTGGACAATTTTAACATATTATTCGGATACAGATGTGATCAGGGTTGTTCATAGTTTAGAATAAATACAGATTCTCGTCGATACCTGACAACCGCTTTGAAATGAAAATGAACTAATATAAACAATAAAAAACAATAAGCATACAAGCAAAAATTATTTAACTAAAAATAAATTAGAAACAGAAATTGTCCTTTTTAACAGCCACTTATAGCCCCGCACTAGGAAGACCCTGTACCGCAGGTGCCATGGACACACACGTAGACAATCACACATTACACCCAAACTCACGAAAGAAATAAAAGTAAGCCACACAAATATTTATTTCTCCCGCCCCGAGAATTAAATCCTTGACTTCTGCGTGGCAGCCAAGCGTAGTAACCGTTCGGCCATAAAGAATTTAAAATTGTAGATTGCTTACCTATCAAAATCAGTGAGTCTCGAGGAGTCTCTGAAGCCCTTTGCAAAAGGGTTGGAGTCTATCTTCAATTTAGTGATAAGCTGATTTTGGTAGGCTGTGACTGCGGTGAATACGGTTTCAGGGAAGACGAAGGTGCGATGCTGCTCTCGGGTGAGATCCGTGATGGGGCCAGCGCCTTCTCTGACTTTAACCAAGTGAATGCGGGGCTGATACCGATGCATGGAGTTCAGAACAATCTGAGGAGCAAGAGAAACTTTATTTTAGACTAGACACTTTTCAATCAAACACGTCTTTCTTTTTCATCAAGTTTACATAAAAATGTTGACATCATTGACAGAATAGACTGTGTTTAGTAACATTACAGCTCCTTGTGAAAGAGTTCGTCCAATGAAGTACTGCCTACCTATTCCTGCCGCCAAGCAGTATTGTAAGCGTTACTGCGTTCCGGTTTTCCAGGGTAAGGGTGCCGGTGAAATTACAGGCACATGGAACTTGGCAACTTATATCTCAGAGTGACAGGCGCAGTGGCAGTGCTCCGCATATCTTTTCGAGTTAAAGCTCTGAGTGGCACTGCAACTGTTATCGACAGGTGTGTAGTTTACCATCAGGCGCACGACTTATTCGTCCCGTCACTTGATATTATAAAAAGAATTCAAATTATGCCAAATTATAAATCACGGCAATTTGACCTCTATTTAATAACATTAACATTTTTCATCAAAAAATGCGTAATCGACTTTCGTAATATAACTTTACACCGACATCTTATAAAAATACTGAGTGTAATTATGTATACGTATCATTCATAACAGTTTGCAATTGTCTATTTTGAGTTATAAAAAATGCAACTTTTTTCGTTTATTTGCTAGTTATAATAGCATTAAACATATTTTTATTTTACTCTCTAAGACCGGTTACACACGGCCACTTAGCGATGCAGTCGCTAATCGTCTACCTTTACACACGCGCGCGGTTTTAAGCAACGATGCAAACGCGATGCAAGCACACGACTGCATCGACACTAACGCGCGATTGCATCGCTACACTTGGGATGTATAAGTGATTGCATCGATTCGAAAACAATTATAATATTTAATGAATATCCTAATGTTTTACTACCATGATATTCAATTCTTTTGTTATGAAATTACTCCACTAGTTTGTTATAATTATTAATACAAAGATGGAACACTAAGAAAAATTCCTTCAATCTGGCCGAATTTGGTCCAACGTCATTCGTGTCGACGCTCTCCTAATGGGCATTGTTCACAATTTTTGACCTATACATATTAATTTTTTGTTTTCGAAAATATAGACTATTCTAAGACACTAATTTGAATATTTTATCATTTCGTACCTTATTTGCCTTGTTATGATTTTTTGAAAATGTTGCAAGTTATTTATTTGGTGACGTCATCAATGGCTCTATAAATGTTAACCATTGCGGCAGGGAATAATTAAAAAAGTAAATTGACATCTCTCAGAATGTCAAAAACGAAATTCTAACCTATAGATGTATTTCGTTACTTTTTGTTCTCTTGTATTTCTATAAAGTATTGGATATAAAGTATCTTTAAAGTATGTAGAATGCTACGCATTAGCTGGACCCAGAATGTTCCCAATATGACAGTTCTTCAGCGCGTTGGAAGTTGCGTATCTTGGATACGTTCTACGGCATGAAAAGTACCGACTTCTCCAACTGATAATGATGGGCAAGATCGAGGGTAAACGACGTACTGGAAGAAGGAAGAAGTCGTGGTTGCGCAAAATCCGGGAATGCATGAATATTGCCAGCGTAGAACATCAGTTTCGCTTGGCTCAAGACAGGGAAGAGTTCTCCAAGCTGACGGCCAGTCTCCAGTAGTGGAGAGGCACTACATGTTGATGATAATATTGGGGTTTCATCGTTCTACTATTTTCGCACGTGTTTTTGTTTCTTCTTGTTTTATTTAGTGCAGTTATATGAAAGACGTTATATAACGAATCATGAACTTTATAAAAGCTGAATCTTGTAAGTTGCCAAAAGTCGAAAATGTAATGATTATTTACTTAAAATAAGCTTAATGTAGCAGAAATAAGAAGGGTACAAAACGTTCAAATGTTGAAACATCTATGTAGATTTAAAACTTTGGGGAATTTATCGCAAAACTAAATATCATGCGCCTTTAAAACGGGTTAAAATCAGACATGCACCTGCCCCCTGGTCTTCACAAGATATTAAGATCGCTATGGCTCTCAGAGATAAGGCGAAACGACGCTGGAAGAGGCTTCCTACAGATGACAACCTAGCTCGTTTTAAATACCTGCGTAATCGTTGTAATCGCTTGTGTAGAGATGCTAAGAGACGGCACATTCACGATAACGTTGAGAAATGCGATTCCACTCAGATCTGGAAATTCCTAAAGTCCATTGGGATTGGTCGATCCACTGCTTCTGGTGATTCGTCCCTTCCTGATCTTAACGCGCTTAATAGACATTTTTCCCTACCCCCTGTTACTTTAGATAAGCATCGTAAAAGCGCTACCCTTCGCATCTTGGCTGACTATACTTTACCTCTTTCTCCTTCCGGACTGTTGCCGAATATGAGGTCAAAACCCATATTCTCTCTATTTCTTCTACTGCTGTTGGCAATGATGATCTCAGTTCCCGTATGATTAGCCTCATACTCCCTGAACTTGTCCCTATCCTCACTCATGTTTTTAACTTCTCTTTAGAAGCTAGTTCTTTCCCTTCTCATTGGAAACTCGCCCATGTTATACCTTTACCCAAAACGTCTAACCCTACTTGCCTTTCCGAATTCCGTCCCATCTCCATTCTCCCATTTCTCTCCAAAGTCCTCGAACACATTGTCAACAAGCAGTTAATGTTGTATCTTTCTTCTAATAAGTTGCTTTCCCCGTTTCAGTCAGGTTTTCGTTCTGGCCATAGCACTGTGACTGCACTGTTGAAGGTAACAGATGATATTCGCCTCGCAATAGACAATGGTCTTCTCACTTTGCTTATAATACTTCTGGACTTCAGCAGTGCTTTTAACTCTGTGGACTGTGACGTATTGCTTGCTTCCCTTCGCTCTTTTAATATTTCTCCTTCGGTTATAGCTTGGTTCGACTCCTACCTCAGAGGCCGCTCGCAGTGTATTCGCTCTGACGAGGCTTCCTCTGATTGGTGTGACTTAGTTGCTGGCGTTCCTCAGGGTGGTGTTCTTTCCCCTCTCCTTTTCTCTGTTTTCATCAATTCTGTCACTTTTGTGCTGTCTTCAAACTTTCATCTCTATGCTGACGATTTGCAGGTATACCGCAGTTTTAAAGCGTCTGATGTCGTTGCAGCCGTTGAAGCGGTTAATGCTGATTTACGTTGCATCGCTCATTGGGCTGAGTGTTTTGGTTTGTTGGTGAATCCCAAAAAGTCACAGGCTATAATTGTGGGAAGTGGGTATATGCGTGGCATATTGCATCTAGATTCTGTCCCACCTATAGCGTATAATTCCACGCCTATTGCTTATGCTTCTACTGCAACTAATCTTGGCTTGCTTTTAGATTGTAATTTGGTTTGGACTCCACATATTAATGAAGTCAGTCGTAAAGTCCATTTCTCCTTGCACTCACTTAAGCGCCTCCAAAACGATTTACCTTTAAAAACCAAAATATGTTTAGTCCAAACACTTATTTTGCCCTTCTTAGACTATGCTGATTCCTGCTATTTGGATGCTACTGAAGAACTGCTAAATAAGCTTGAACGACTGCAAAACCTATGTATAAGGTTCATCTTTGGGCTTCGTAAATATGACCGAATTTCACATTTCCGCAGTCAGCTCAAATGGCTTCCCATCCGTCTCCGCAGGAATTTGCATATTGTCTCCATTCTTTACAATATTTTACATAACCCTGTGTCTCCCGGGTACCTGAAAGAGCGTTTCAGCTTCCTTAGGTCCCAGGATAAACCCTGTCGCTCTCTTGTTAGGTCCCAGTTATCTTTTCCATGCTTCAATTCCGGTTTCTATTCTCACTCCTTCACTGTTCATGCGGTCAGACTTTGGAATGCACTTCCTATTACTGTTCACGAAAGTAAATCGTTAGCTATTTTTAAAGTGAGAGTTAAAGAGCATTATTTATCTACTATTTCATCCATATCTTAGGTATTATATTATAAAATATGTATTTATCTAAGTATTTATATAATTTAAAACAATTTAATATTTTTATATTATTTTTACATTATAATTTTTTTTTTGTTTTGTTGTGCACATATGCCCGTTCTTTTAGTTATAGTGTCCTGTATTTAGGTCTGCAGGAAGAAATTTCTATTAGAAATAAGCAGAACCTTTTGTTTTTAATTTCGCTTGTATTCTTTGTGGCTTGTATTTTTCCTGTACAATAAACTATTAAATAAATAAATAAATAAATATCTGTTGCGTGGACCGGAAAAATGGAGCAAAGTAGTCACCACTTTGTACCCACGTGATGTGAAGTAAGATGAAAGCTATTGTGAAATGAAAACTTTATACAGCTTCTGCGTTATTAGATTAGAAATGTTATGAGATTTTGAATTTATCATTTTGCATTTATAAAAGCTTACATATTTATTACGAATAATCAGGAGATCTCTATGCATTCTAGAAGTATTTGGCTGTACAGTTGGCTGTAGAGTAAACAAGTATTCTTACAATACATATTGGTCGAGCCTAGACCAACGTGAGCGCACCAAATTGATATACAGCTAGTGCTGCTGTGTACACGCTCGACAAATTTGAAAAAGAGCATTACAAACGGCCATTGTAGATGAGTTTTGTGTAACTGCCCACACGTTGGTCGCTGTCAGTTATCATTTACATTGAAAGTATTTGGATGGCGTACAAGATATTATAAATAAATAAATAAAATAAATAAATAAAAAGACATTTATTTATCCACAAAATACACATAAAACTAGTACAAATAAAAAACAGCGACAACTAAAACAGAAATGTGAATAAAAAGGTTGAAGACTCAGCATTGCTGATTTTCAGTCTACACCTAAAACTATATCTATTCGCTTGCTACAACCGACCGGCAAACGGAGCACTAAATATTTCATTTATACTTAAGGTTTTTAACTAATCGGTAACTAAACAAATAAATACTACTGAATATTTAATGTATAATGTAGTAATGACACTCGGTTACTACTTACATAACTAATGAAACATAGAGGCTGTCTGTGTTACACTTAAAAACTATAAAAGTCATAATAATTTACA